ATGAAAATAAAAAGACAGACTTGATAAAATGTTACCTGAAGCAAGAACCCTTGAGTTTCCCAGAATATTCTGCAATCTTCTTGATCATCATCTTCAGCAGGCCAATCATCATCCCCAAAACAATCATCACCTTCAAACCCATCATAAGAAAATCCCAGCCATTGATGATGATCATCAACACCTACGGCCGAGATGCTTCTCGCCCGATAAAAACCAGCAAGCAACCTCATCATTTGCTCATCTCTCATGGGCTTCATCTTGTCCAGAAAATAACTGCAATTATTGCCTGAGACCATGTTGTACATACATACAATATATCTATATATATGTATGTATGTAGATATATTCCCAATGCCTTTGCTTGTATATCTTTATCTCACTGTTTTATTGTGATAATATATCAAATTTGAATGAAGGTGAGGAGAAATGTTCATATGAAAAAACAAGTTTTAATTTGTTTGGATAAGTTTTTGTCTATTTAAAGACAATTACCTAATTGAAGACAAGTTGTTGATGGTATATGATTTATGGACAAGTCACATTCACATGTCAACATAATTGATGTTATGTTTGTTAACTGTGTTATGATATTTTTAATTATAAGAAAGAAATTAGGAATAACATTTTGTGGAGCCTTAATTTGTCTGGTTTCTAAGAATTGCATGTATAGAAATTGCGGATTATTACTTTAAATGATTGAGATCTACTGGATTATTACTTTAAATGATTGAGATCCAAGTAGAGAATATATATTTTAGATGATGTCCTTAGAATGAGGTCAAAATTGCATGGCAAAAATGGAAAATGTAACAGATAAATATATATAGAAGATATTTTCATAGTTATCTTTAGTATCTAGATATTTGATTTGATATGATCTTATCTCTATTTGATTTTCTCTCTTGTAATCTCTATATACTCTCTGTAAACTCTTTCTACGAATATACAGAAAACTTTCTTTCTTCCATTATCATGTTCTCTCCTACGATTTTAGCATGGTATCAGAGCGATGAATTTCGCCGTCGACATCATACCTATTTTTTTTTTTTTCCACCATCATCATATTCTTTTCTTTCATCATGTCATCCGGCACCGGATCTCATTCAAATTATAAAACTATCTCACCATACGATATCACGTCGAGTGATAATCCCGGATGTTTGATTTCTACGGTCCTCCTCAAAGGGCAAAATTATATTGAATGGTCCTATTCACTTCGGAAGGCTCTCCGGCACGCAAAAAGTTCGGTTTTCTTGATGGTTCTATTCTCACACCTGCAGACGACTCTCTGATCCTCGAAGATTGGTTCGTCAATAACTCGATGTTGGTCTCATGGATAAAGAATACGATCGATCCGACACTTCGACCCTCCATTCCTCAAATAGAACTCGCCAAAGAACTATGGGATAATCTTCGTCGTCGTTTCTCCGTTGTTAGCGGCACTCAAATTCAGCAATTGAAAGGCGAAGTAGCTTCTAAACTACAAAAAGGTATGACTGTTAGTGCATACTATGGCAAGCTGCGCACGTTATTCGATGAATTAAACTCGTATCAACCACCAATTGCTTGTACCTGTGGACATGCTCGTGAATTCGAGGCCCGTCGAGACGCAGAAGAAACTCACCAATTCTTATTGGGCCTGGATAAGGAGGTATATGGGTCGGTCCTAGCAACAAAACACAACTAACCTAGCAGCAGAAAGAACAACTAAACTAGCAATAAAACACAACTAACTTAGCAACATCAGACAACTAACCTAGTAACAAAACACAACTAACCTAGCAACACGTGCTCTGCGTTTTCAGGCTAATTTGCCCATTGAATTTTGGGGACACTGTGTCTTGACTGCCGGATATTTAATAAACCGTACTCCCACTGAAGTCCTACGTGGGAAAAGTCCCTATGTTCTTTTTGGAAAATTGCCTTCTCTTACACATCTTCGTGTTGTTGGCTGCTTGTGCTATGTTCATAATTTGGATCATTCGGGGGATAAATTTGCTAGTCGTAGCAAGAAATGTATCTTTGTAGGCTATCCCTTTGGGAAGAAGGGCTGGTCTGTTTTTTATCTTGACACTCGACAGTTTTTGGTCTCTAGAGATGTTAAATTCTGTGACGATCAATTCCCATTTTCTAAGCCACCTGACTCTGAGACTAACTCTGTCCCTGACATTCATCATATTTTCATGCATTATGAGTGATATATTGTGATATTAGGCCTTGGTTATCGTGTGATTGTGCACCATTTTGTTTGATATATTAATCTATGATAGAGGTGTTTTTGTCGTTGGTTTTGCAGGAAATATGCCCGGAAAAGCGTTGAAAATAGAATCGGGACGAAAAACGGCGAAAACGGGTGCAGAAGAGGTCACACGACTCGTGTGGGTAGTGACACGGGTCGTGTGGGTTGAGAAAATAAGAAACGCAGCTACGGCTTTTTCACACGGGTCGTGTGGGTTGAGACACGGGTCGTGTGGCCTCACACGACTCGTGTGATCCGGTCGTGTGACCAGTCATGTGAGTCTGGAAGTTTGCCGAAACGTTGAGAAAAGTCACACGACTCGTGTGGCATGTGACACGACTCGTGTGGCATGTGACACGACTCGTGTGACGCGCAGACTAGTTCAGCGGGGAATAGGATTCTTGTGCGATTTCTTCCCTTTTTCGACCCAGAATAACCCTACAGTATAAAACAGACCTTAGGAACTCGTTTTTGGGACTTTTGACATCATGGGAGGCCTAGAGAAAGCACGAAACACACGAGGGATTCGAGGAAGTCAGGATTGAAGATTCGGGAACTAACGGCGACAATAGTTCTTCTTTCTTTTCTCTTTTCCTTCTTCATTGAACTCATGGATTTATTTATTTTGAGTTTTGAGAATATGTTTAGTAGCTAAACCTTTTAGATTCTAGGATTCGTTAGTACTCGGATTGATTTATGATTTAGTTTTTATTTCTTTCATTCCGGTTTATCTTTCGTTTATGAATTTCTTGTGCTTATTTTTATTGTGTGAGTAGATGGCCACTATGAATGCATATTTGTAATCGATTTGAGACCGAGAGGAGATAATTGATTGCTAGAATTGGGAGATTTATAACGTAAGAGAATAAACAGACCGAGAGGTTGATAGGACCTTGCGAGAGAACGAAAATCCTAGGAACTTATGGGAGTTAGTTGTTCATCTTGAGACCGAGAGGAGATAGATAACAATTAATATCCACGATTTGACTTGTTCGAGAGAAAGGTTTGAAATCAATTTAGCGATTATCTCTACGATTGGTAAAATTAAATAAGGTTTGTTTGAATATAAACGTTTCATGAATTAATTCCGAGGAACGCTTAGCCTAGAATCTACCTTTTGTTTCTTTGTTTATTTTTATTTTTATTTTTAGTTAGATTAGTTCTTAGTTTAATTTCTTAGTTAATAATCATCATCCAATTCATTAGTCTAGATAATATTTAGTCGTCATTATTTTAGTACTTAATTAATTTAACTACAATTTTTGTGGAATACGACCTTGCTCGCCACTACCTATAGCTACGCCGTACACTTGCGGATAGCGAAAATAATTAGCGAACAGTCCCACTTCCTTCTTCTACACCATGGCCTGTTATTGATGACGCGTCTTCACCTGTTCTTGATTCTGAGCCAATCGCCTCTCTCGATCCCACATCCTCATCTCCTTCTGGGACTACTATAGTCAGGGGGGTTCTGACTCTATGGTGTCCAATGAGCTCTTGGGTCGAGGCCGCCGGACGAAGTTTCCTTCCGTCAGACTGCCTGATCATGTCACCAACACTATTATTTCCCCCCCAGTTCACTCCTCACCCACTTCATCGTCCTCAAGTACACCATATCCCTTAGCTCATTTTGTTGATAGTACTGCTTTCTCATCTGCACATAAGACTTTCTTGGAAGCTATAGAGGCCTCTCTCGAGCCGCGGACCCTTACCGAGGCCTTGGCTGATTCTAATTGGCGTTCTGCCATGCAGTCTGAAATTGAGGCTCTTGAGCACAATCACACTTGGAATCTTGTTCCGCTTCCTCTTGGTAAAAATGCTATTAGATGTAAATGGGTGTACCGTATCAAACATCGGTCTGACGGGTCCTTTGAACGATACAAAGCTCGTTTGGTTATCCTTGGGAATAAACAGGTCGAGGGTGTTGATTATACCGAGACCTTTGCTCCCGTCGCCAAAATGGTGACTGTTCGAATCTTTTTGGCTATTGATGCTGCCCGACAATTGGAATTACATCAGATGGATGTTCACAATGATTTCTGCACGGTGATCTTGATGAAGAGGTGTACATGAAATTGCCTCCTTGTTTTTGGTCTAAGTCTTCTAATCTTGTTTGTCGCTTGAAGCGGTCCCTATATGGCCTTAAGCAGGCTCCTTGGTGCTGGTTTGCGAAACTCACTACGGCACTTCGCCAATATGGCTTTCGTCAATCTTATGCCGATTATTCTCTTTTTACCTTGTGCCGCGATGGTGTTCAACTGCACGTTCTCGTTTATGTTGATGATCTGCTCATATCCGGGAATGATAGTGGGGCTATTTCTTCCTTTAAGGCTTATTTAAGTCGTTGCTTTCATTTGAAGGATCTCGGCATTTTGAAATACTTCCTGGGATTGGAAGTCGCTCGCAATTCCTCTGACATTTTCTTGTGCCAGAGGAAGTATACTCTTGACATAGTGTCCGAGGTTGGTTTTCTCGCTAAGCCGGCCTCCTTTCCATTGGAGCAAAATCATCAGCTTCCGCTTGTCACTGGTCCTCCACTATCGGATTCACAAAAGACCGGCGTTTGATCGGAAGGCTTATTTATCTTGCTGTCACTCAACCAGACTTGTCTTATTCCGTCCATGTTTTGTCTCAGTTTATGCACAATCCTCTCCAGGATATTGGGATGCTGCTCTTCGTGTTGTGCGTTATTTGAAGGGTCGTCCTGGTCAGGGAATTTTCTTCCCCGCTGATTCTGATTTACGTCTTACTGCTCGGTGTGACTCTGATTAGGCGGGATGCCCACTTACGCGTCACTGTCTCACTGGTTGGATCATCCAACTCAAATCCTCGCCCATCTCGTGGAAGACAAAGAAACAATCTAATGTCTCTCGCTCTTCCGCCGAAGCGGAATATCGCTCCATGGCTTCTACCACTTGTGAGCTGACCTGGTTGAAATCCCTTCTGGGATGTTTTGGTGTTGATCATTCGTATCCAGTCTCTCTCTATTGTGACAGTAAGGCAGCTTTGCATATTGCCTCCAATCCCATGTTCCATGAACGCACTAAACACATTGAGATTGACTGCCACTTTGTTTGTGACGCACTATTGAAGGGCCTTATTGCTCCTCGTTATGTTTCCACCATGGCTCAGCTGGCAGATATTTTTACTAAGGCCTTAGGTGGACAAGACTTCACGAACTTTCTCAACAAGTTGGGCATTCGGAATCTTCATGCCCCAACTTGAGGGGGGGGTGTAACAGATATATATATATATATATATATATATATATATATGGAAGATATTCCCATAGTTATCTTTAGTATCTAGATATTTGATTTGATATGATCTTATCTCTATTTGCTTTTCTCTCTTGTAATCTCTATATATTCTCTGTAAACTCTTTCTACGAATATACAGAAAACTTTCTTTCTTCCATTATCATGTTCTCTCTTACGATTTTAGCAGAAAATAATCATAGGACTACTAAAAATTCTTAGAAAAATGAAAATTAAGCAGGTGAGCTATTCAGGATAAATATATTTTTGTATTATATATATGCTAAATTTTCATATATACTGCATTATCAATTAAAACTTGAGATGAAGTAAATAGATGTATAGTTTATTGAATATCTCATTAAAAGATAATGATTTTTTTTTTTTTGTAAATCAATGACCATTCAGTTAAAAAGCAATCGTCAGCCACTAAAAATGAGGGAATCTATATATATATATAAAGAGGAGCAATAAAGTATTAAATTATATTATCATGCATTAAATTTTATTATCCCTCCAAAATTTTCAGCATTCAATTTCATTTTTAAGTTACAAAATAACTTGCTTCAATGCCATAAATTATGAATATAAACCAATCAAGGGACTAGGGAGTTACAGAATTGTACTCAAATTTTTAGTCACACACACTCAAGAAAATGGTCGGATGTATTAGCATAAAGAAAATTGTTGTAACGACTCTTCCAGAATTAAATTATGATTTATTTTTATTTTTTTTATATTGTTATTTTTTTAAATTATTATTCTCTGTGCAAATGCACAGATTGATTACTAGTAATAAGTTAAAAGGTTATGACGATTCAATAATATGCAAACGTACATTATGTTAAAAAGTATTTTACCTTTTATCTGTCAAAGAAAAATATATATTGAGGTGTGATTGGAACAATAAGAAAGATTTTCATTTCAATGTGGAAAACTTTGATAGACTTCACTTCTTCTCACCTTAATTTAATAATATTGTTTAATAATAGAAATCAATCATTAGAACATGGTTACTACATAATTTATTATTTATTTACTTACGTAAATTCAACTACTATCTATTATTTTTACATCTTGTTAATTTAATTATTATATTTTTATTTTATAATTACCACATTTTTCAAAAAATTCATTCTGTAGCGGTAAAAAATAGTGGAATGCCACTTGTATCCGGTACACTCTCGAGGATATCTAAATGGGTTCAATAAATTCCTCAAAAAAAATTGACCCTCATACAGTCCAAATTACAAATAAGCCCATTAATTATATATAAGCATGAAACAGAAGTATATGAGCCCAACTCAGCCTATTTAAGCAGTAACTCAGCAACTCAACTACAGTACTTGACCTACTGACAATACAATGATAGGCCCATTAGCTAACCACAGGAGGAGGAAAAAAAAATTATAATTTGAGAACATATTTATGAATCTACGTGTCATTATCCTGTGTAAGTGTGTAGTATTTTCTGTGGCCATGAAGTCCACTCTCTTTCTCTCTCTTCCTCCGGTGACCAATTGCCTTCCACACTCCACTTCGCCTCTTCTCACTCTCCTCAACCCCTCGCCATGGCCGTCGCGGTACCTAAATTCTCCATCGCCGCCCCTTCATGCACCGTTCCTCGCAGCCGCCTTCCGCCGTCCGCGAAGTCCATTTCCAATTTTCCTCCGGCACCCGACCGCGCCAGAGCTAGGGCTATGAAATGCAAGGCTACCGATGTTTCGCCGCCGCTGTCTTCGGTGGCGTCCGAGGAAAAAGGGAAGAGCTGGGTGCCGGTGGTTCCGGTAACGGCGCTGCCGAAGGGGGAGCGGCGCGTGATCATACAAGATGGGGAGACGGTGCTGCTGTTGTGGTATAAAGACGACGTTTTTGCTATCGAGAATAGGTCTCCGGCAGAGGGTGCCTATTCTGAGGGCTTGCTCAATGCTAAGCTCACTCAGGTTTGTGTGTGTGAACTTGGTTTATTTATTTATTTTTTAATTGTAAAAAATAAAACTTGCTTATGTATGTCTCTTAGTACTCTTCTTTTTGTAAGGTTGAGTGGAAGAGCCAAATAGGGGACTAATGGTTGGTATATTCAGTATTTAGTTTGTCGTTATACTTCTGAAATCAATTGAAATAGTGATACCGTTTATATAATTCCGGTAATTTATATGTCAGATTTTGAGAAAGAAATGTAGTTGTGTTTTCAATTGCCAATTTTTGCATCTAATTCTGCTTAATTTTTATAATATCAAAGTTGGGGAGTAGTGGTTTGAATTTATCGTTCTACATTGCTTGTGAAGTATGTAATCGTGTATGTCCTGTAGTTCTACTTTATAAATAAGCGCTTACAACATATTCACAACAACACACTAGCTTAGGCTGTGTTTGGATTGACGGACTTGAAATGAACAGATTTCAAAGCCATTAAATTTCAAATTTCATGCTTTAGAATTCTTTATTTGCATATGATGGAATTGTGAAAATGATTATATATACATCTTGCTTACAACGGCAGTGTTAACATGCTGTGGTCATTGTAGTGTGAGGGATGAAGTGTGGATTTGATGGTTTGAAGTGTCATTTGTAATCCCTTATTCCCTTTGAATAATGAGTAAAATCTATTGAACATCTTGGGTGAATATGGAAATTCTCCAATTTCTATTTTCATCCAAACATGTATGATAATTTTGAACTTAGGAAATTGAAATACATACACCAAAAATGAATTCAACTTATTAGCTTTTATTTGCACGTCTAGGTTGGATTTTTCAAGCCACTTCTCCATGATTGGAAATGGAAGTTTCTGCACAACCTGATCTATTTTGAATTGTTGAAATTTAATCAGTAATACCACAGGTTTAAATATAGTTTCTGAAATCAAAAGTCTTTGGTTTAGCTGTTGTTTGGCTTCATATGTTGTGCCACAAGAAAAATGCTTCATTATTTGAAAACAAGTTATTTTGACTTGTTGCAGGATGGATGTATTGTTTGCCCGACCACTGATAGCACTTTTGATTTGCAAACTGGCGACATTAAAGAGTGGTATCCTAAGAATCCTGTCCTTAGGGCACTCACGCCACCTCTGAGAACTTTATTCATATATCCTGTAAAAATTGATGGTGAGAATATATACATAAGCATGGGAAGAAGCTCGCAATCTGATGCGTCTACTGAGATTGTTTTCAGTGGGAAAGCTAATCCCGGTGTGACGGCCTCAGACGTCAATGTTGATGTGGTAAAAAAAAAAATCTAATATCTCCTGGGTAGTTTTAGAATTATCCTTCGGGTTTGACTAAATCTTCCCTTTCAATTAAACGGAATAAGAAATGGAAAAAAACGACATCTTTTGAAACTATAGAGTATTTTATAAATATCCCCAATATTGAGCTTTGCATTTGCTTCTACAAATATTTTCAATGAAAAAAAAAAGCTTGATGAAACGAATTTGGTAATGTCTAGCAGGAGTAAAACCACTTGTACTGTACTTTTTTTTTTTCAGGTAAGAATGATTGTTGATGAAGACCTCGAAGGTTTTGGTTTCACCGGAAAAAATGAATTGATAAACGGGAAAGCAGCTGCTGTCGGTTTCTTGCTGCTCTTGGATTTCGAACTACTGACAGGTAAAGGCCTACTCAAGGGAACCGGTTTTTTGGACTTCATTTACTCTATTTCAAATGCTCTACAATGATTTCCACCCAAATCCGGCCTAAAGTAAGCATTATCTGCATGTACTGTTTGTGTTTTGCCCTTCATTTCCTCTTTTTTTGTTTGCCCTTTTATTTCTTGAGCTTGTCTATAGAAAGAGCAAACATCATTTGGTTGATATACATTTTTTTCGTCGATAATTCATACTTTTTAGTAGAATTTTAAGAAATGATTGTACACCTTTGAGAAAACAATATAATTGTTAATTTAGATTGAACTCGGCACAAACCGCCAGCTAGTAGATTACGAGGTGTTAACTTCAGAGTCAGATGGCAAAGGTTTTTAGACAGAGTCAATATGTTGAGCTTTCACACACCACCGAAAGATCCAAAACAATTTCTACTACACTAATATTGTAAGACTGGGTAATAGGTTGTAATTATGGAATTTGATGTAAAAATGTTTTGGTACTAAAGAAAAACACATTTTTTTTGTGAGTCGGCCTACCCGTTAAGAGGGTTATATTCATTTTTCCTCAATAATTGAATACTTTCTGAATAAAAACCATTCCATTAATATCTTTATTTGTTCACAAAATATGACTGTCTTATATAGACTTAACTCCCAAAAAAAAAAAAGACTCGTATAATATATAGATGTATTAAGACCCAAGGAAAATGTTGTAGTATAATTAATGTAAGATAAAAATATAATGAATAATGAAAAGATCAAAATAATTATAAATAAATAAGTAGATGAACAAGAAAATATGTATAAGGATTGATTTTTGTTTTAAATTTACATTAATAAAATTAAAGGTCGAACAAGATGAATGAACCGAATAAAGATTTATATATTAATGGCATCAAATTGGGACAAATTACTGGCCGACCACGAATTACTACTGTTCATGACGCCAGAATGATGACCTTACACAAATATACATCCCCACTAATTATTTTGACCAATTTTGTACATATGAACATTAAATTAGGACTTCCACGTTATAAGTTTTCAATTTGTTTATTGCACCGAGTGGCTGCTCTCATATGCCATTTTGGCTGTTCACATTTTTAATCTAAATTCAATTTTACGATTTTCAGATACAATCCAATTTTCACTCTCATTTCTCGTTTACTGACTATCTTAATTTATTTTTATTGTAAAATATGAAATAGTTATTAGTTTTAAGATAATTTACGGTGATTTAATTTTTTTTCCATAAAAAGTCAAAACAATTGAAATGGATCTAGGGGTGGCCAGTCCACGGGCCGGGTCACGGCCCGGCCGCCGGGTCCACGGGTCGCAAGTTCATGACCCTTGACCGGCCCGCATTTTCTAAGGGCCGCGGGTTTGGATCGGCCCTGAACCGCCGGTTTTTGGCGGATTCTGGGCCGGTGCGGCCCGTTAAAAAATAGACTTCCGCCCGTCATTCAACCCGCCGACTCGGCCCGGACCGACCCGGCCTGCTGGGATAAAAAATAAAAAAATAAAATAACGAACCTTAACCGAACTGCGACCCTTAGGAGGCCGGTTCGGTCCGGGCCGGGACCGGTTCTCGGGTCGGTTCCTGGACCGGTTCGGCCCGTGGGCATGTCTAAATGGATCCATTGAAGAAGAATTATAATTCTTTGTTCTTTTTTTAGAAGGGAAAATATCACCGACATACAAAATCTAAATGCATTTAATGCAATTCTAATCCCCTCAAATCCATCCCCCAATTCTAACACGAATAGAT